TACTAAATATTGTACAGTATATTGCCCTCAGTGTATGAAAAATATCATGTAAGCAGCGTTTTCCCATTTTTAGTTCAACTTTGCATAAACAAATAATGTTTTATAACATTAGTAATGTGACTTTGGTTCACTTATCACACTGAAAATAACATCCTGCACATTTTGGAAAATATCACTTATGTATTGCATGCATACAGAAAACTTGCATTAGACATAGTAAGAAAATGATGCTATTCTGAGCAAAGTTTACCCAAATTTATCCACATTTTTTGTTTGTTTCTATAGTGACTATTCATCAAAATTTCTTGCTGACTGCAACAGCTGTGTTTTTGTTTCTAATGGCAGTAGTCATGTTTGGTCTGATTATAAGGTGAGTGGACGCACAGCATGTGATAATATAGCCTTCTGTTGAAATGCAGAGAGAACATAAAGTTCATACAGTATGTGTTCAACGTTGCTTGAGTTTGTACTCTGTGGAAATGACACTACACATTACACAAGCCCTCGATGACGTCCCGCCATCATCATGTACTGCGTTCAGTATTGCACTGCTTGTATTTCATTCATGTCAAGCATGCAATCGGTTTACGCAAATCTTGCACTTGCAGCTAATACTAACCGATTTACATAATAAGTGTTGTGACTAAAGTGTAGTATTCTGACCATTCTGAATTATTAACACATAATAATACAGTATAATTACTTCAAAAGGAATCTAGTCAGGTTAGATGCCATATTTAATTTAATGAGGATGAAATTAAACGAGTCTGTAAAACTGTCTCTGCTTACATCTTTACAGGAGGATACCGTTTACGTCAAAGAAGCAGCCCACAGAACAGGTATTAAACTCATGAACAGTTCAGTTCATCTTATTTTAAATGAACAAAAGGCCTCTGTATGTATTAAATGCACACTAAATTAACACTAGTGATTTTTTTATCTCTGATCAGACACCTGCAGCCACAGTCACAGAGGAGATCTATGAAAACCTGAGAAAATCAGCAGAGTCTGAGGAAAACTATAGAACATATGTGATATATGCAGATCTAAGTCTTCCTCCATCAACCTCAGACAGGTAATGATTAAAATGTCATAATGATGATTATTCGTGGGGGGAAATCTTTGGAACTGATTTATAAACCCCCTGTATGTGTTGACATACAGTACAC